CCCTCATATATCAATAATCACTCTAAATGTAAATGGATTGAATTCCCCAATCAAAAGACACAGAGTGGTGGGATGGATTAAAAAGCAAGACCCAACAATTTGGTGCCCCCAGGAAACACATCTCAGCTCTAAAGACAAACACAGGATCAGAGTGAAGGGGTGGAAGACAATACTCCAAGCTAATGGCAAACAAAAGAATGCAGGTGTTGCCATACTTGTATGAGACAAAGTAGATTTCAAGATAAAAAAGGTAATGAGAGACAAAGAGCGGCAATATATAATGATAAAAGGGACACTGCACCAAGAAGATATATCAATTATAAATATATATACACCCAACACAGGAGCACCAAAGTACATAAAGTAACTATTAACAAACCTAAAATGTGATATCAACAACAACACAATAATAGTAGGGAACCTTAACACCACACTTACATCAATGGATAGATCATCCAGACAAAAAGTCAATAAGGAAATAGTGGACTTAAATGAAAAACTATACCAGATGGACTTAATAGATATACATAGAGCACTCCATCCAAAAACAGCAGATCACACACACTTCTCTAGGGTGCATGGAACATTCTCAAGGATAGACCATATGTTGGGAAACAAGGGAAATCTCTATAAATTTAAGAAGATTGAAATCATAACAAGAGTCTTTTCCGACCATAATGCTATGAAACTAGAAATCAACTACAAGAAGAAAGCTGGGAAAATGACAAAGATGTGGAGACTAAACAACATGATACCCAGAAACCAATGGATAATTGAAGAAACTAAAGGAGAAATCAAAGAAAATCTGGTAACAAATGAAAATGAAAATACACCATACCAACTCATATGCGGTGCAGCAAAAGTGGTCCTGAGAGGGAAAATCATAGCAATACAGGCCAATGTTAACAAACAACAAAAATCCTAAATAAGCAATCTTAAACTACACCTAACAGAATTAGAAAAAGAAGAACAAACAAAGATCAAAGTCAGCAGAAGGAGGGAAATAATAAAAATTAGAGCAGAAATAACTGAAATTGAAACCAAAAAAACAGTAGAAAGGATCAATGAAACAAAAAGCTGGTTCTTTGAGAAGATAAACAAAATTGACAAACCCTTAGCCTGACTCACCAAGAAAAAAAGAGAGAAGCTCAAATAAATAAAATTAGAAATGAAAGAGGAGAAATTACAATGGATACCACAGAAATACAAAGGATTATAAGAGAATACTATGAAAAATTATATTCCATGAAATTGGACAATCTAGAAGAAATGGATAAATTCTTAGACTCATACAACCTCCCAAAACTGAATCAAGAAGAAACAGAGAATCTGAATAGACCAATCACAAGTAAAGAGATTGAAACAGAAATCAAAAACCTCCCAAAAAATAAAAGTCCAGGACCAGATGGCTTCTCTGGAGAATTTTACCAAACATTCAAAGAAGATTTAATACCTATCCCTCTCAAACTATTCCAAAAAATAGAGGTAGATGGAATACTTCCTAACACATTCTACGAGGCCAACATCACTCTGATACCAAAGTCAGACAAGGACAATACAAAGAAGGAAAATTACAAGCCAATATTGCTGATGAATATAAATGCAAAAATCCTCAACAAAATATTGGCAAACTGGGGGCTGGCCCCATGGCTTAGTGGTTAAGTGCGCCCTCTGCTACTGGCAGCCCGGGTTCAGATCCTGGGCACGCACCAACGCACCGCTTCTCTGGCCATGCTGTGGTGGTGTCCCACATACAGCAACTAGAAGGATGTGCAACTATGACATGCAACTATCTACTGGGGCTTTGGGGGGAAAAAAAGCAGGAGGATTGGCAATAGATGTTAGCTCACAGCCAGTCTTCCTCGGCAAAAAGAGGAGGATTAGCATGGATGTTAGCTCAGGGCTGATCTTCCTCACACACACACAAAAATATTGGCAAACCCAATACAGCAATACATTAGAAAGATCATACACCATGATCAAGTGGGTTTTATACCAGGGACACAGGGATGGTTCAATATCCACAAATCAATACACCACATTAAAAAATGAGGAATAAAAACCACATGATCATCTCAATAGATGCAGAGAACGCATTTGACACGATCCAACATGCATTTATGAAAAAAACTCTCAACAAAATTTGTATAGAAGGAATGTACCTCAACATAATAAAGGTCATATATGACAAACCCACAGCCAACATCACACTGAATGGGGAAAGTCTGAAAGACATCCCTCTGAGAACAGGAACAAGACAAGGGTGCCCACTCTTGCCACTCTAATTCAACATAGTTCTGGAGGTTCTGGCCAGAGCAATTAGCAAGAAAAAGGAATAAAAGGAATCCAAATAGGCAACGAAGAAGTGAAACTCTTGCTGTTTGCAGATGACATGATTCTATATATAGAAAACCCTAAAGAATCCATCGGAAAGCTATTAGAAATAATCAACAACTACAGCAAAGTTTCAGGGTACAAAATCAACTCACAAAAATCAGTTGCATTTCTATACTCTAATAACAAACTAACAGAAAGAGAACTCAAGAAAACAATCCCATTTACAATCACAACAAAAAGAATAAAATATCTAGGAATAAATTTAACCAAGGAGGTAAAAGGCCTATACAATTAGAACTATAAGACATTATTGAAAGAAATCGATGGTGACATAAAGAAATGGAAAGATATCCCATGCACATGGATTGGAAGAATAAGCATAGTTAAAATGTCCATACCACCTAAAGCAATCTACAGTTTTAATGCAATCCCAATCAGAATCCCAATGACATTCTTCATGGAAAAAGAACAAAGAATCCTAAAATTCATATGGGGCAACAAAGACCCAAAATAGCTAAAGCAATCCTGAGAAAAAAGAACAAAGTTGGGGCCATCACAATCCCTGACTTCAAAATATTCCACAAAGCTATAATAATCAAAACAGTATGGTCCTGGTACAAAAACAGACATACAGATCAATGGAAGAGAATTGAAAGCCCAGAAATAAAACCACACATCTACGGAGAGCTAATCTTTGACAAAGGAGCTAAGAACATAGAATAGAGAAAGGAAATTCTCTTCAATAAATGGTGCTGGGAAAACTGGACAGCCACATGCAAAAGAATGAAAGTAGACGTTATCTTGTGCCATACACAAAAAGTAACTCAAAATAGATCAAAGATTTGAAGGTAAGACCTGAAACTATAAAACTCCTTGAAGAAAATATAAGTAGAACACTCTTTGACATCAATCTTAGAGGGATCTTTTTGAATTCCATGTCTACTCGGACAAGGGAAACAAAAGAAAAAATAAGCAAGTGGGACTTCATCAAACTAAAGAGCTTCTGCAAGGCAAAGGAAACCAGGATCAAATGAATAGACAACCCACCAGCTAGGAGAAGATGTTTGCGAATTATATATCTGACAAGGGGTTAATCTCCATAATATATAAAGAACTCACACAACTGAACAACAGAAAAATCAAACAACCAGATCAAAAAATGGGCAGAGGGTATGAATAGACATTTTTCCAAGGAAGATATACAGATAGGCAATAGGCATATGAAAAGATGTTCAACATCACTAATCATCAGGGAAATGCAAATCAAAACAACACTAAGATATCACTTGACACCCGTGAGAAGGTCTATAATCACCAAGACAAAAAATAACAATGTTGCAGAGGATGTGGAGAAAAGAGAACTCTCATTTACTGCTGGTGGGAATGCAAACTGGTGCAGCATCTATGGAAAACAGTATGGAGATACCTCAAAAAATTAAAAATAGAAATACCTTATGATCCAGCTATCCCACTTCTGGGTATTTATCCAAAGAACTTGAAATCAAATCCAAAGAGGCTTATGCACCCCTATGTTCATTGCAGCATTATTCATTATAGCCAAGAAGTGGAAGCAATCAAAAAGTGTCCATTGACAGTTGATTGGATAAAGAAGGTGTGGTGTATATATATACATACATATATATATGTATGTATATATATACACACAATGGAATACTACTCAGCCATAAAAAAGACAAAATTGTCCCATTTGCAACAACATGGATGGACCTGGAGGGCATTATGTTAAGTGAGATAAGCCAAACAGAGAAAGACCAGCACTGTATGACTTTACTCATATTTGGAATATAAACTAACACACGGACAGAGAGAACAGTTTGGTGATTACCAGGGCGAAGGGAGTTGGGGGGTGGGCACAAGGGGTGAAGGGGTGCATTTATATGGTGACTGAGAAATAATAATGTACAACTGGAATCTCACAATGTTATAAACTATTACGACATCGATAAAAAAAAAGTTACACACAAATAATAAAAGTGCATCTTGGCTGAATAGATCAAGAGACTCCTTCTGCCAGATCTGGGAGGAATTTCTCTTCTCTATTAGTTCTTCTCTATTAACCTTTTGATTAACTGCTCTTAAACACTTCTTAACACTGCAATAATTGCCTTATATAACTCAATTTATCATCACAACTATAAGATGGGCACTATTATTAGCCCCATTTTACCATCGAAGGAACTGAAGCTCAGAGAGGCCAAAGAACTTGCTCAAGGTCACACAGCCAGTAAGCTGCAGAGTTTAAAGTTGAACCCTTGTCAGTCTGACTCCAAAACCGTTTTCCTGAACTTTTATACTGTATACTGTACTTCCTTTACCTCGTGACAATGCTGAGTTCATTAAGAAGTGAGAAACCACTTCTATGTAAAGTATTCCCGTGGACCTCATGTAATCCTGAACTATTTAACAAAACTGTTCTGTGGGGTTTTTCTATCCCTGTGCTACCCCATCCGCACACCTGTATTCCCCATCCATCCCTCTAGGCGTGGAGGGACTAGCAGGACAGGGTAGCTAAAGCTAGCACCTTTGCAAAGCATTTTGTTTCAAGGTGTCCCATTTCGTTACCTCATTAACGAATGGCTACAAAGAATCAAAGAGAACAACAATCTGTCCACCCCTTGACCCCCTCCTTTGACCCAACTTACTCCATGGAGTCGATGATTTTTTTTGGCTCCACAGGGCATGGATAGATGACTTCATCGATGTGCTTCAGGTTACAATTTGAATAGGCAGTAGAGATATGTATGAAGGCTTCGAGCTTTGGCATCTGACTGGCCATAAGCAAGAGCTGCTGGGTGGCAGCGACGTTTAGTTGCACGGCATGTCTAGAGAAGATGAAGCGGAAGGAGACACAATGAGGCCACTCAGCATCCTGCCTTGCTGTACGTCACCTACTCCAGTCACTGGCAGAGCCATCTGATTTTTGTGGCTGCCTCAAAGGACCAGGAAGAAAAGTATGAGTCATGACTACACAGTTATGTGATACTTGGAACATATTATATGTGGGTGATGTATCCTGTGCACATAAATCTTATTCATTGAAGCATTTGTGCATATTGCATTTAGAAGTCATGGTTCTACAAACAACTGGAAGGAAAAAATCACAATCCTCTGAATTTATAAAGAAGCTACTTAAGCAGCCATTAAAAGAACAAAAATATGTAAATTAAACACCTAATTCAAGAAGTCGGAAAATTTAAATAAATCGGAGGAGAGCAACAGTGGATATAGAATGAGAATTACAAGTTTCTATTGCAAAGGTCCAGGTCAGACATGAAAATTGAAGTCAAAATCCTAAATTTTAGCTAATAGAATAGAAAGCCACATAAACACAATATGTGATGAAAATAAAATAGTTCATTCCAGAAATACATGGTTTATATAATATTAGGAAACCTATTAATCTAACAATTCAAAAAGAGAAAAACTATATGATCATCTATATGTATTTTGAAAAGTTGAAAAATGACATTCAATATCCATTTCCAATTGAATTTTTAAAAATTCATTATAAGAGGAACAAAATGATTAAAAAATGTATACATCAATATGCTAGCCTGTATCATGCTTAATAGCCAGCCCGGGAGATCTGGTGGTTAAGATTCAGCGCTCTCACCACAGCATCCAGGGTTCACTTGTCTGTCGGTTGTCATCCTGTGGCAGCTGCGTGTTGCTGTGATGCTGAAAGCTATGCCACTGGTATTTCAAATACCAGCAGAGTCACCCATGGTGGACAGGTTTCAGCGGAGCTTTCAGACTAGACAGACTAGGAAGAAGGACCTGGCCACCCACTTCCAAAAAAATTGGCCATGAAAACCCTATGAATAGCAGTGGAGTATTGTCTGATAGAGCACTGGAAGGCGAGAGGATGACAAAAAATTCAGGGCAGGGTTCCGCTCTGCTGTCCACAGGGAAGCTAGGAGTCGGAATCAACTCCGTGGCACTAACAACAACAATCATGCTTAATGGTGAAAGTTGAGCACTGCTTTTCAAGTCAGGGCAAGAACGATGTCTACAACACCACTACTGCTTCACAGTGCTCTGAAGTTCCAGCCTTGTCATTAGAGAGGAAAACAAAACTAATGATCAGATCTAATATTGTACAGACAGGCACAAAAATCACTATCAGAATATAATTGTATATCTGGAAAACAGCAGCTATACAAATAAAAATTAGACAGTAAAATGGAAGAAAAGCACACATTCAAAGTCAAACATTTATAAAACATACCAAATTAATAATAAATGATTAGGCTCTATATAAAGAAAACCATAAAACTTCATTAAGGGTCAGAACAGAAAAACTGAACTAATAGAAAGACATATGGTTCTTGGACAGGAAGAACCAATGTTTTAAATATGTTTTTCTAAATGAATCTGCATATTCAAGGTAATCCCAATCAAACTCTCAACACTTGTAAAAACTTGGCAAAATTATTCTAAGTTTAATCAAGAATCTAAGTAAGTGAGACTAGTCAGGAAAAACTATAAAAAGAGAATGATGTGTGTATACTTCCCTAATAAAATAAAAATTACAGTAAGTAAAATACTGTGGTACTGGAAGAGAAAGCCTAATTAATGGAACAAAATAAAGAGTTCAAAAATGGGAACTTAATATATTGTAAGAGTTTCCTTTCAAATAAAGAGTAAAAATAAATCATTTAATAAATGTCGTTTAAGAAATGACCACCTGTTAGAAATTTTTTAAAAAGTTACTGTACATTAACACCTACATTACTATTTACAGAAGTTTCCGGACTATTCCTCTTTATAGCTAAATAAATTTTAAATGAGTCAGAGATTTAAATGTGAAAATAAAACAAAAATACTGGAAGAAATTATAAATAACTGCATAAATAATAAAAACAGTTGAGGACAAATGATGAACTATTAAAATACTTTGAACCTTATAAAAGACAAAGAGTTAATATGCTAACTCTTCCAAGAAGTTTTAAAATTGACAAGAAAAAATGGTTTCAAGAGAAAAATAGGTAAGGAATATGAATAGACATTTCACAAAAGAATAAAATGCCAATAAGCATTTAAACATCTTCAACCTTTCTAATTATCAAATAAGTAAAAATCAAAAGATACAATGCCATTTCCATTATCATATTGACAATGTTAAATAGAATTAAAACATTATAATACAGTATTATTTGTGTCAGACATGAGATTCATGTGCATAGGGACAGTGTAAATTGATTCCACCTTTTGGGAAAGCAATTTAGGATGACATGTCAAAATGTAAGCTGTTCATAACCTGGGCACATCTGGTACGCATCTGACAATTCTACTTCTGGGAACTTACCCCAAAGGGAACGCACCCAAGGGTATAAAAACAAACATATGCAATGCACAGAGATGTTCATTCAGAGTTGTTTATAATAGCGAAAAACTAGAACAATCCAAAAAATGTCCATCAATACAGAACTGGTTAAGTGTATTATAGATAATTACGTACAATGGAAAGTCATGTACTCATTGCAAATCATAATAGAATATTTATTGACAATGAAAGATATCCAAAAATATAATTGAGCATCTTGCAAAACATCATTCTCAATATGATGCCATTTTTTTGTAAAGTGAACATAAATCTATTTTATTATGATTTAAAAATTATTATTTTTAAATCTGCATTTAAGAAATGCAGGGCTGCATAAAGAAATGTTGGAATGGGTGTTCTCCACAATATTAAAGGGTTATCTCTGGATGGTAAGATTTTGAAGAAGTTTTACTCCTTGTATTCTTTTTTCATTGCGAATACATCTTTTTTTTGTAACAGAAACCATAAAGAAACTTAGACAGACATGGGTGCACACCACGTATACATAGAAGCCACGAGAGGGAAATGGGAATGTACCTCAGATGGTCGTCAAAGCGTACAGTGGCGGCACAGTGGAAGACGATGTTTGTGCAGGAGAGAAGCTCCTGCGTGTCCTCCTTGCTGATGGCAAAGTCGCTCTGATTGAGATCTGCAGAGATAGCTCTGATCTTCTCATGCACGTCTGGACAAACTTCTTTGACTTTTTCAAAGAGCTAAAACATAAATATAAATCAATATACGGAGATCATCATCACCATCACATTGTTCTTGTTTTCACTGACTTGTTTCATTATAATTCTCAAAGATTGATTTTAGGTGTACTAAAATCACTCAAAGAAGGCATCTACTCAAGAGCCATTTGCTTTGTTTCATGCAATTCAAAGTCAGCTTAGTATAATTCCTGCTCCTTTTCATCTGATAATCATTTGAACTTCAGTTCCAATAACCAGGAAGGAGCGTGGTTTGAACTCCTCCTTCGGGGTGAAGGAGTGAACGTAAGTCATTCATATCCTGCTCCATCTTCTTGTCCCCTGAAAGGCAGCTTCATGTTTATACATGGTGACTGTTTCCATTTTTCGCTGGGAAAAAATGGTCGTCGGTGCGCGCCCGGGATCTGAACCCGGGCTGCCCGTAGCGGAGGGCACACTTAACCACTAAGCCACGGGGCCGGCACCTAATTAATTCTTTAATATTCTAATTTATACAAGAACAAAGGAAGGGGCAGTGGCAGTTTTAGCTTTTATTACAATTATTCAGATGGATCGGAGTCTCTACTTTCCCCTTCACACAGAAGATCTTAGATTAAATTGGTATTTTCCATTTTCTCAGAAAATATGATTTTAATAAAATGATCTTGGTTCCAACCTATTTGGATAAAATGAAATTTTACTGTAGTATTGGCATGGTACGTTAACAGTGAGGAAAAGGAAAGTAAGGCTAAATGTTTAGAAAGGTTAAGAGGAGAGAAAATTAGTCTGTGGTTTTAATCATAGTGAAGTGGCAGAGACAGCCCTCTTCTCCCCTTTAACCACAGACGAATTTTCATTATTTCCTCGATCCTTAGTAGCAGCCTTTTCTCTCCATTAGAGAGCTACCCCGGGCTTTTTTATTAGGCACTAAGAAGTTGACCTCAGAGAGTCAGAGAAATCATGTCTCATTTGTAATAGGCAAGACCATGTTCAGAGGCCATCCTGGGAATTCAGTAAGAGTGACTGTGGAAGAGAGTTGAATCCATATATTGTCCTGGCAAGTTAATATACTTCTGTCTCTGAGGTACCATTTTTCTGCACTATAGGGTCAGTGGGGTGTTACTATAATTCTGAAAATAATTTGGAAGTTAGGTCAATCCTCAACACTTTTTTGACATCTGGGATTGATAAGGTTGATAAAGTGTCTAAGAGACATTCTCAACAAAGGTCATTGTAGTTCTCCAGAAAGATACTTAACAGCTCTTCTACTCTCGGTAGATCATAGCATGAAAAATATTTGCTTTCATAGTCAAATGGTTTCTTTCTCGTAGTTCATGTTCATTGTACAACAAACACATATCAGATATTTTTGGATACGTTTATCTAAAAGTTGTACAATTTCCCTCTTTGTTATTAGTTGAATTTGTAGAAGGCTCTTTTTTGAGTCTGCGTGATAGATTTTACTCACGGGAAATTTATTTAGGATTCTGTGGAGTCTTTGACTCTGGCCTGTGATAATTTCTGGCTGCTTGAGAGCAAGAAGTGGAGGATGACGTCAGTGTCCACCCTTCTAGCAACGGGGTTCCTCACATGTGGCGTATGCTGCCATGTATAGATTTTCTCTTGCCTTTGGTTTTTGTGACTTTAAAGGCAGAGAATACTGTTATACCATATGGTACATTCAGACAACCTGAGCGATGTTGAACAGCACCAAGATACCAATTTACAGCATGCCTATTTTAGGAGATAATTACTCTTTAAGGAAATAATGTCCCAATCTATATTCTACTTATTGATTTATATTTTCAAATGAGAGAGCATATCTGAATGAACATAGTGCAATTGAAAAAAATCTGAGTTTTCTGATCCAGACGGTATTGATTATGGTCAGCCAAAATAAAATCAATGAATTGGCTGCATCAATTCCAACTACAGTGCTGAATAAGAGTCCCATTTTTCTATATTACCTGTCTTAATAATATGACTTTCCGTGTCAGGAGTCTCACCATACTGCTATAGCTTCTAACAAAATAATACTCTTTACATGTTGCCACCTCCTTTCTATTCCATTCTATGGATCATTCACATCGGTTCTATTTATAGAACACTAGCGACTACAGCCAACTGCCAGCCAACAGACCAGTGCTTTTTAAAGTGTTATCTTCCAAGCGAACTGCATTGGAATCACTAGTATGCATATTAAAAAGCTATATTCCTGGACCCCATCCCATACCTACTAAATAAGAAATTACTGAGGCATAGCCAGGAGTTTGCATTTCACATCAAGTTCCCTAGTTAATTTTAACTGATCAGAAGATGAGAACTTTTCTAGTTGGAGTGTTAACATGGATAATTGCTGCTGAAAAATTGTGTATGATTCATTTCACTTTATAACTGCCCAGGGCAGTTATAAGACATGAGTGGTTTTCAAACTGTGTAGGCATACAAAATATCTGGGAACCAGTTAAAATGATTTCCTTACTCCACTCTCAGAGATCTTGACTCAGCAGGTTTGGTATATAACCCAGAAATTGTGTTTATTAACCAGCCACACAGATAGGTCTGACGGTCTGGGTACCAAACTTAAAGAAACACTGACTCTGAAAATTCTCCATTTTTAAAGTCATGGCTTAAATATCCCCCTTTGGTTTGTAAATTTCTTGATTCTTGTTCATCTTTATGCTCAACAGCAAACTGTTCATTGAAAAGACTCCAATTTTGCTTGTTGAATTGAAATTAATTACTGTAAGAATAGTAATAGAACCATAAATGGGAGCTTGGCTCCTGAAGTTGTTTGGTTACTCGCTCTTCTTCATTGGTGGGATGAGAGACAGCAAATATTTACTACTAAAAGAAGACACAAAGTGTTCCCTGGGGTCCTGGGTATTAACTGTCAAGGAGCTAGAAAGCCTCAGTGCAGACTCTCCTCTTTTGTAATAATAACAAGAATGAAGGACAGATGAAATGATGCAAATGGATCTCAGTAGATACCAGCTCTTCTGAAAGTTTCTTTTGCTAATACGAGACATTAATTAAAGGTAAGAAAAAATAAACAGAATAAAAGTGAGTGAAGAAAAAATATAATTTCAAGAATTTCATTGATGGTCCACCAATAATAAACTTCATATAATTATTTTAGAGTCTAAGGGTTTATCATATTCCTTCTCATATATTCTTTCTTTAATGGCATAGGACCGAGAAGGTAGAGTTGAGTAACTACCACCATTTATGAAAACTCAAGCAGAGGGACTGCTGCTTTTCCATTTTATGAAACAATATTCTTGATGGGAGCAGGACACATTTCTGTGGTCACTGACAGATAACAGCTGGGAGGTGATCTAGGCATTTCAAACTGATATCAAAGCTGTACATTTCTCTCGGAAAGTTTAGGAGTGTTTCACTGATTTGACATTACACAGGCAACTATTTCTCTCTCTTAATCTGTTTTTAAACATGAGAGACTATTCTATTTATGGCAATAGTTACTTATAGCCCAGAGGCAAGAGAGAAATCTTGCAAATCCTGAGTAAGAAAATTCAGCAGAATAAGAAAACCAGAAAGAGAAATTTTTGAATTCAATAAACTCCTTGGGCATGACTTCTGCAGCCAGACACTAAAACCACATTTTTATTAGAAGCAGGAATTGGGCAAGAGATGGGGGCATGATATTTATATTATGCTTTTGAAACAATGGAGAGGTCTTGAACTTGGACTTCTGCAATCGACTTGTTATCCACATGACCTCACTTTGGAGGTATCCACAGGATATTTGGTCACTACTTCCTGGGGATCAGTGAAAATAATCGTATCTTTAATAATCATGAGAGTTTTTGATCTTTATTCAGTTTACTGAGTCTGTCTCTTCAAATATTACTATATTATTTAGTTCCAATAACCCACCAAAATTTGCTTAATATTTTTACTTTGGAAAAAAAAGGGTAAAGTCCCTTAAACTAAAGGGCAATCTCTGTGGAATATCTTGGAATATCTGGTGTCCTAAAGAGCCTATAATATTTATCAGAGAAATTTTAGAATGCTGAGTAAAAGCAAATCAACAGATTCTGCAATTTAGAATCCAAACAAGAAAGACCTATTAAGAAATAGTATAATCTATGTCGAGAACAATTGAACATCACCAAGTACATGTAAATTAAGCCAAGAAACTATCATACCAATGTAAAGAATCACAAAAATTTACAAAATGTTAGGATTTTGCTAGTTCACTAATAACTGCCATAAGATATAGAGGATTAACCTAGAAGTTTTATTGCTTTAGTGAGGACCATTTCTATAGAACCAGAAGGTGGTATGGTGTAATAGCATGGTTGTCAAACTTTGGCATTTGGCATTTTGCCTGGGAAGTTGTTTGAAAAACAAAAAACAAAAACTTCAGACATTCTGACTCAGGAAAACTCTGGAGACTCTGACTCAACAGTTCTGAGTTGAAGCTTGGGCGTCCGCACTTTGTACAAGCTCTCTAGTGAGTCTGATACACACTGAAGGTGAAAGCCATCAGTGTGCTGGAAAGATCTCAGGCTCTTTGGAGTCAGGAGGCCTGGGTTTGAATCCTAGTACTGCCATTTATTAGCTGCATGACTGGGGCAAGTGACCTCTTGGGGCCTCAGTGTTTTCATTTGCATATTTATCTAAAATGTCAATCTCTGGACTATCTCATTCTGTGATCTCAGGAAACTAATGATTCACCATATTTTCTGCTATTCTTAAAAACAATTTTGCATTAAAAACTTTTAATTCACTTTGCATAAGAATCTATAATGAATGCTAAAGGTGACACAATGTTCAGTTCTTCATCTTATTATGCTTTGTTCCCCAAGGTCATTTTCACAGAGTTCTTTGAGAATAAGTACCCGGGCAAGAAAGGAGCTGGGGTGGCTAGGAAGATGGAGACCAGTCTTAAGACTATTTCTACTCTCCAGCAGAATTGGTGGCATCTTTGCATTATCCATGCTAAAGGATGGGAAAAGTGATGATACTAATCCGGAAGTGGCCATAGTTTTACCTTC